TAATAAACTAGTACAGTATTGTTAAAAATAATCTAGAATTTTAATGCCTAACAATAAATTCAAGGGTAATTTTTTTTTTATAATTCTGTTTTTATTTTCTACTTCTGTTTTTATTTTCTACTATTAGATATACATTATTTTCCAGAGTAGGAATGAGAATACATTTTTTTTTTAATTTTTAGTTGCTATATTCTTTTAGTTGAGGGAATTGTTAGTTTGTGCAATTTAAAGGAAATGCATTTTATTTATTTTTGAAGTGGGTCTCTTTTTAAAAAAAAATTCAATTAACATAATGTATTATTAGTTTCAGAGGTAGAGGTCAGTGATTCATCAGTCTTATACAATACCCAGTGCTCATTACATCACATGCCCTCCTAATGTCCATCACCCAGTTACAACAACCCTCAGTTTGTTACCTATACTTAAGAGTCTCTTATGGTTGGGGTGCCTGGGTGGCTCAGTCAGTAAGCATCTGCCTTAGGCTCAGGTCATGAACCCAGGACCCTGGGATGGAGCCCTGCATCAGGCTCCTTGCTCGGCGGGAAGCCTGCCTCTTCCTCTCTCACTCCCCCTGCTTGTGTTCCTGCTCTTATCTCTCTCTCTGTCAATAAATCAACAAAATCTTTAAAAAAAAGAGTCTCTTATGGTTTGTCTCTCTGATTTTCTTGTTTTATTTTTCCCTCCAAGGGTAAAAATTCTTATTCAAATTAAGATAAAGAATAAATAATGCTATATTATAGAAACTAATTTATATTACTATTAGTTTTATAAAATTGCTCCATGTTGATGGTGTTTTATCCAAAGACTACAATTTCCAAATTTGCCTATCCAAATAGAAAATCCCCCTCCCCGGGGCACCTGGGTGGCTCACTCGTTAAGTGTCTGCCTTAGGCTCAGGTCATGATCCCAGGGTCCTCGGATCGAGCCCCACATCGGGCTCCCTGCTCCTCGGGAAGCCTGCTTCTCTCTCCCACTCCCCCTGCTTATATTCCCTCTTTCGCTGTGTCTCTCTCTGTCAAATTAAAAAAAAAAAAAAATTAAAAAAAAAAAAAGAAAATCCCCCTCCCCCAAAATTAGCCTAGATGATCCATGTGTATTGCTTTTTATTTAGTGATTCAGATTTCCCTAGGTTTTATATCCATATGGATATATAACATTTAAATATTGAGATGAAACAAAACTACCTTAATTTTAACACTTTCTATAGTGGTAACTATAACCTTTTTCTTGTGCCTAATTTTATATCCCTTACTTCCTTGAACAATTTATGTTGGGGGGTTGTTTGTGGGTATACTTTAAGATATGTCTTAAAATCCACACTCTATTGTTTTCTGGCTCTATGACTTTAGTTGAATTTTAAAATCTCTCTTTGCTGTAATTCCCTCAACTGTAAAACAGGGTTATTAATAGTAGCCACTTTCTAGGGATGTGATGATTAATTTGACATATGGAAAGAAAATAACAGTATCCAATAGCACATGTGTTATAGGAGGTATTGTTATAATCATCTATCCATCTTATAAATTCATTAAATATTTGATTTTTACAATGTGCCAGACATAAAAGTAAACACTCTAAACCTGTATGTTCTCCTTATCTTATAGATATATATATATGAATCATATATGTGATTAAAAAACACTTTATATGTATCTTTTTATATTGTTTATTTTAAAAAAACATTATTCTTTGTATCTTTGAGAGTCACTCTCCTTCCCTTACATTCATAGGCAACTATTCTGTGTTTAATATTCACTTATCTCATTGTTCTTTAAAAATATTCATTTTTGTTCAGTGTACATATATTTTTCTAATTATGCAATGATATTATCATACCATATATTGAACTAAGTTTCTCATTGACTAACTCGACATTTATTTTTTTGTGATCCATGCAGGTTGCTATGTATGTGTCTAACCTAGTGCTTTCAACTCCTCTGAAGTGCTTCTACATACCTATGACCCAGCTTGTGGACATCCAAATTACCCTCAACATCTTTCTACCACAAATTATACTAAGGTGAGCATTGTTAGATGTTATTTTTGTACCTGTGCAAGAATGCCTTGGGATAGATCAACAAGTAGAATTGCTGAGCCATAGGGAATGCCTGTGCTTTATTTAACTAAATTGTCAGATTACTTTCCTTAATACTGTGTCAGTTTACAGTGGCTTAAAAAATAAGGTTTTTAACTCCCTACAACCATGGCCACACGTGACATTTTTAATCTTCTAAATTTTTGTCTATCTAATAATAGTGAAGTTCTGTCTCATTCTTGCTTGATTTGCATTGTCCTGATTATTAATGAATTTGAACATGTTTTCAAATGCTCATTGGCCTTTTGGATTTTCTATTATAATGTTTTTATTCATGTCTTTTTTATTAGATATTGAGTTTGTTGGGCTGCCATAACAAAGTATCACAGAGTGGGTGGTTTAAACCAAAAAAAAAAAATAAGTTTCTCACAATTCTGGTGGTTCCAATTCTTAGATCAAACAGTTGTCAGGTTTGGTTCCCTCTGAGGCCTCCTCCTTCATTGGCTTGTAGGTAGCGGTCTTCTCTTTGTACCTTCACATGGTCTTTCCTCTGTATATGTTGTGCCCAAATTTCTTCTTATATGGATACCTGTCATAATCACCTCTTTAAAGGATCTATCTCCAAATAGAGTCACACTCTGAGATACTGGGTGTTAGGACTTAAACATATGAATATGGGGGGTGGCACAACTCAACCCATATAAGTGATGGAAAATTTACCAAAAATATCTGAGTCCTGAATGACCTACAGATATAAAATACTGTTCTCTAAGTATAGGATTACTAACTACATCTTCTACTTATGTCATTAATTTCTTCATATAGCTTCACTTATAACTAAATTATAAATCAGGTGAGAGAAATGGTAGAATATTTTGATATTGATTGACAACTTCTACAAATATACTTTTAAATGATTATCTTCCAATTTTGGCCTTTTAGTACTTAAGAAATAACTGCTTATTACATTTTAATTCAAGTCTAAAAGATAATTAAGATGAAAGCATATATTTTACATTTTCATTTAATGTTAGAAATTAAGATATAACAGGTCACATTAAATATCAAACTACTTTTCTAGATAGCACAATCAAATGAATAAGCCAAACTTGTCTGATTTTAGTACGGTAAAGAAAAAAATCTGCTAAATACACAGAAAGCCAAAATTTCTGCCTTATAATAAGGTCTTGGTAATGCAGGAATTATTTCAAAATATGACTAATATTCTATGCTTGAAGTACATAAAATTACACTTTAAAAAAAATTCATGAGTCTTTACCATGTAACTTATAGCTACAAAATTTAAAAAAACTCTGTGTTCATTCTGGATTTACTTTATTAGAGTAACTGTACAATATAGAGAAAATGTTTCCTTAGACCAGAAAAATCCCCTTGTCTTACTTAGAATAACCCCACCCATATTTCTAAGTACACAGAAGTGTGGTACAGTAAATACCTATGCTTATGCCTATGCCATCTGGTAGGACTAGGGCCAGTGTATGTTTGTCTGCAAATATTTATACAGATAGGACATTTGTGGGAAAAACTAATGTAACATCCTTACTTAAACATTTTCTAGATGCCACTAATTGTGATTAACACCTGTCTCATTTAATTTAGTCCTTTTAACAATTCTGTAAGGTAGATAATATTATCCCTGATTTAAAGTTAGTAATCTAAGGCATAGAGAGGTAAAGCTACTTATCAGGGGAAAAATGCTTTTTATTACTTTCTTTTTCCCCTAGGGATTAAAACTCAAAGTAGCGCTAATCCAAACCCAAGAACTAGTCACATCTATACCATTTAAGTGACAGAGATTGTCACTCATCACATAAGAAAAAAGCTATACAAACTGAAAGTCCATTTTTTTAGTACTCATCATGGAATAGAGTTTGGAAGGCAAACTGCCATTCTGAAATCTGGAGAGGTAGGTGATTTCTGAGTTCTGCTTACCTGGAACAGAAGCCACAGGAGCTATAAACTGGAAGGAGCATAAATGCTAATTTTGATGAATTTCTGGAGCTGAGTGTGGACTAGTATAAGAGTGACAAACTTCTGGGGGACTCTACACTTTAATCAGCTTTACCTCCAGGAATCCCACCAAGTTCTAAAAGTGAGAATCTAAAAAGGATTCCTTGTTTTTCTTGCAAGGGTGTAGGGGACACAACTCTCTTCAATCAACAACATATAGAAATCCCCAAAGCACAGAAGGGAGACAAAAATAAGGGATCTGAGGAATGTAAAGTCTCTGGTACCTACAACAGACATTAAATACAGCCAAGTAATCAGTCAAATATCATAAATTCTCACATTAAAGACCTATTTACCTCAAGTTCTATTCCTTAATACAACATGTTTGGTTTTCCTAAAGGCAAGAAAAAAACTGAAGAGACCAGCAGTCATCAGAACTAGTCTAGGATATAACACAGGTGTAAATTAGAGAGGAAATTTAAAATAACTATAAATAACACACAAGAACAGATAGGTTACATAAACTCTAAGAATCTCTAAGAATCAAAAGTAAATGCTAGAAATGAAAAAAAAATGACAAATGACTTTGATGGTCTTATAAATATACTTGACATGCCTGAGGAAATAATAAGTGGTCCTGAGCATAGAGCAATAGAAACTTTCCAAATTGAAATACATAAAGAGAATGAAAGAGTATCCTAGAATTATAGGAGAACATTAAAATGTATAACACATCAGAATGAAAAATTAGAAGAAATATTTGAAATTAAAACAGCTGAGAACTTTGCAAAACAAATGACAAGCATCAAACCACAGAGCAAAGGAGCTAAAAGAATGTCAACATCATAAATACAAGCAAAGAAATAAACATCCATATCTAAGGCAAATCATGTTGGCAATGTAGAAAGCCAAAGAGAAACAAAATCCTGAAGGAAAAGGCCAGGGTGAGGGAAAACACAACCAACAAAGAAACAAGTTTAAGAATTACAGAGTAGTGTTTGCTTCAGCAGCACATATACTAAAATTTGAATGATACAGAGTTTAATTTGCATGGCCCCTGCACAAGGATGATGTGCAAATTATTAAAATGTTTCATATCTTTTCATCAATAGATTAAAAAAGAAATGTCTGGCTTTGAAAATCAAAGGGATTTAAGTCCAGCTGATTTTTAAAGCTCCTGGAGTTAAAGAAAGAACCAGGACACTAAAAAACTTGCTCTGAGAAAGCACAGAAGCAGCAATCCGAAAAATGCCAGGAATCCATGTGAAGGAGATCTACTGATTAATTTTAGGACATGTGCCAGGGGGGCAAGTATCTGAAGAAAATTTTTCCAGGAACAAAAGCAATGCTAGCTACCATTATTTGTGCCCTCCCCCATACTAAATAGCTAGATGCTTGCAGGATTCAATTCTAATTTTCTATCTTGCTAACACCCCATGTCATGCCCTGGTATTCCCCTTTGGTTCCACCCTACCCATTTTGGCAGACATCCCTCCAAAGGACTCCTGTCCCACTATACCCTGTAGGTAGCCATGGTTAGGACTGGAAACATTGCAAAGAGACTGCTGCAATTCCTGTAGCTGGGCCTCATAGCTGGCTGTTTAGGAAACAAGCCCTGCCCTGCAGTGTTCCTGGAGCTGTCATAGTGGCTTATTGCAGACAGCCAAGCTGAGGGCTAGCCCTGCCCACCAGTGAGCCCACAACTGCTATAACCAAGCCTCTCAACAACCCATGGAGCAAACTCTGCCCAGTGCCCCCTCAGCTGGCAAAGTGGGTCATTGCAGCTTTCTGGGCTGAAGGGCAACCCACCCATGTGCCCACAGAAATCATAGCTCAGCCACAATAGAAGACTGCATGTAGCCCACAGAGAGGACACCCCTGGAGCACCTGGTTCTGCTGACAGGAGGGATTATGCTATGACTTCACAAGATCTCTTCTAGAGAAGGCTACTTAACTAATTTAAAGACCAGAACACATAGCTGCTTAATACATAGAAACAGACAAAACGAGGTGACAGAGGAATATTCCCAAATGAAAGGCAGGAAAATAATCACAGAAAAAGAGTTAAATGAAAAGGAAATAAGCATTATGCCTGATAAAGAGTTCAATGTAATGGTCAAAAAGATATTTAATGGACTTGAGAGACAGTGAATGCACTCAGTGAAAACTTAGAAACTATAACATAGAGAGTTGAAGGAGACAATAAGTAAAAGGAAAAATAGAGACTAGAGGTATTCAACAGAAGATTAGAGGATGCAGAAGAATGGATCAATGATCAAAAAACAATACGTTGAAGGACCTCTGCAATATCATCTCTAACATTTGCATTATAGGAATCTCAGAAGGAGAACAGAGAGAAAAGAGGGCAGAAATCTTATTTGAAGAAATAATAGCTAAAAACCTCCCTAATTTGGGGGGAGAAAGATACTCAGGTCCAGGAATTACAGATAGCCTCAAACAAATTATACATAATGGTTAACATTGCAGGCCAGAAAAGAGTTGCATGATATATAAAAAGTGCTGAAAGGACAAAAAACAAAAAACTACAACCAAGACTAATCTACCTGGCAAAGATTATCACTCACAATTGAAAAAGAGATAGTTTCTCAGACAAAAGTTAAAGAAGTTCATCACCACTAAACCACCTTTACAAGAAATGTTTAAAAAAAGGCTTCTTTAAGGGGCACCTGGGTGGCTCAGTTGTTAAGCATCTGCTTTCGGCTCAGGTCATGATCCCAGGGTTCTGGGATTGGGCGCTGCATCAGGCCCCCTGCTTCTCCCTCTCACAGTCCTCCTGCTTGTGTTCCCTCTCTCGCTGTATCTCTCTAATAAATAAAATTTTTGAAAAAAAAGGCCATAACTAGAAGAAAATTGTGAAAAGAAAATATTCCACTGCTAAAAGCAAACATAGTAAAGGTAGTAGATTTAAAACTTATAAAGCCACTATGTAGGTTGACACAAAAGTAGTAAAATCAATTAAAACTATAAACATTAGTCAAGGGATATATAAAATAAAAAGATATAAAATATGAATATGTTTGAACCTTAGTGATTATAACTTAAAATAGACTGCTATAGGCATAGGGTGTTAAAAATGAACCCCATGGTAACCACAAATCAAAAATCTATAATAGATACATGAAAAACCAAGTAATTCAAGCATATAATGGATTATTACTCAGCCATTAAAAAATGAAATTGTTTTATTTGCAACAATATGGATGGAGCTAGAGAACATTATGCTAAGAGAAATAAGTCAGAGAAAGACAACTACCATATGATTTCATTCCTATGTGGGAATTTAAGAAATAAAGCAAATGAACAAAGTAGGGGAAAAAAGAGAGAGGAGGGCAATCCAAGAAACAGTGTTAATTATAGAGAACAAACCAATGGTTACCAGAGGGGAGGTGAGTGATGAGGATTAAGAAGTGCACTTGTGATGAGAACTGGGTGTTATATGTAAGTGATGAGTTACTAAATTCTACACCTGAAACTAGTATTACACTGTATGCTAACTAACTGGAATTGAAATAAAAAATAAAATAACAAAATGGGAAAAAGTACATAACTATCAATAATTATTTTAAATGTAAATGGACTAAATGTTCCAATTAAAAGACATACAGTGACTACATGAATAAAAAATAAGACGATCTGTATACTGATTCCAAGAACTCACTTCAGACCTAAAGCTAAAGTGAAGAATGGAAAAGACTGTGTGCAAATAGAAGCCTAAAAAAAAAAAAAAAAACTGGGATAGCAATATATATTCAGACTAAATAGACTATCATTTTGTAAAGGGCATTATATAAAGACAAAGGGGCCAACCCAACAAGATGATATAAATATTGTAACTATCTATGCACCCAATTTAGAAGCATCCAAATGCATAAGGGAAATATTAACAGACATAAAGGGAGAAATTGACAGTAATATAATAATGGTAGGGACATTAACACCACACTTAGATCAATGGATATATCATACAGATAGAATGACACATTAGACCACATAGCTTAACAGATATGTGCAGAACATTACATCCAACATCAGAATACAGATTATTTTTAAGTGCATATGGAACATTATCCAGTATAGATCACATGTTAGGCCACAACACAAACCTGAACAAATTTAAAAAGATCAAAATCTTATTAAGCATCTCTTTTTACAATATTATGTAGCCAAAAATTATTTACAAGAAAAAAAAACCTGGAAATAAAAACAAACGTGGAGGCTATACAACATGATACTAAATAGCCAATAGGTCAATGAAGAAATCAGAAAGAAAGAAAAAATATTTGGGGACAAAAAGAAAAAAAATGGAAACACAATGGTCTAAAATCTTTGCCATGCATCAAAAGCAGTTCTAAGAGAAAAATTTATAGCGATACAGACATACCTTAGAAAAAGAGAAATCTTAAAAATTCTAACCTTACACCTAAAGGAACTAGGAAAAAAAAAGAATAAACTAAGCCCAAAGTTAGTAGAAGGAAGAAATTAATAAATATCTGAATGGAGATATAGAATTAAAAAAAACAAAATAATTCAATTAAACCAAAAGCTGCTTCTATGAAAAGATAAAACTGATAAACCTTTGGCTAGACTAATCAATAAAAAAGACAAGGGGGCAACCATAAGAGATGCTGAACTTTAGGAAACAAACAGGGTTGCTGAGCAGGAGGTGGGTGCGGGGAGGGATAATTGGGGGATGGACATCAAGGAGGGCACTTGATGTAATGAGCACTGGGTGTTATGTGCAACTGATGAATCACTAAATTCTACCTCTGAAATAATAAAAAAAGAGAGGTCAAATGAATTAAAATGAAAGAAGAGAAATAACACCACCACATATAAACATAAGAGAATATAATGAAAAATTTATGCCAATAAATATCTAGAGACAATCTTTTAAACCTGAAATAGAAAAATCTGAACAGACCCATTAATAGGAAGGAAAATGAAACACTAATCATAAAACTTTCAATAACAAAAGTCCAGGACCAGGTGGGTTTATAGGTGAATTCTACCAAACACTTAGTGTTAATAACTCTTCTTTTCAAGCTATTTAAAAAATTGAAGGGGAAAGAAAACTTCAAAACTCACTTCACAAGGCCAAAATTACCCTATCTACAATCAGACGTTGACACTATAAAAATGAAAACTGCAAGCCAATATCCATGATAAACATAGAGGCAAAAATTCTAAATAAAATATTAGCAAGCCAGGCACCTGGGTGGCTCAGTTGTTAGGTGTCTGCCTTCAGCTCAGGTCATGATCCCAGGGTCCTGGGATCGAGTCCCACATTGGGCTCCCTGCTCAGCGGGAAGCCTGCTTCTCCCTCTCCCACTCTCCCTGCTTGTGTTCCCTCTCTCGCTGTCTCTCTCTCTGTTAAAAAATAAAATAAAATAAATAAAATATTAGCAAGCCAAGTTCAACAATATACTCAAAGGATTATTCCCCACAAACAAGTGGGGTTTATTCTGGGGATGCAAGAATGATTCAATTTTCACATATTAATCATTGTGATAAAATACATTAAAGAGGAAGGATAAAAACTATAGGATCATCTCAATAGATGCAGAAAAAGCATTGGACAAAATACAATGTCCATTCATGATAAAAATTTTCAATAAAGTGTTTTAAGATGGAATATACCCCAACATAATAAAAGCCACAGGGAAAAAGTCCACAGCTAACCTCTTACTCAATGGTGGAACACTGAAAGCTTTTTCTCTAAGATCAGGAACAAGACAAGAATGTCCACTTTCGCCACTTTAACTCAAAATAGTAATTGGAGTCCTAGCCACAATCAGACAAGGAAAATAAAGGCATCAAAACTGGTAAGGAAGAAGTAAAATTGTCATTATTTGCAGATGACATAATACTACATATAGAAAATCCTAGACAACACCACAAAACTATTAGAAGTTATAAATGAATTCAGTAAAGTTGCAGGATACAAAATTAATATACAGAAATCTGTTTCTATATACTAATAACAAAGTAGTACAAAAAGAAATTAAGCAAATAATCCAAATTACAATTGTACCAAAAAGAATGAAACCTAGGAATAAATTTAACCAAGGAGGTTAAAAACAT